TGTTCGCTAAATCATTCTTATGTAGCACTTGCTAGGGTGGTCTTGGGGGTCCAGGGTCCTGCCACTGAGCTACCTAGTTTGCTAGAGCCATAAAAGTCCCTGCCTCCTTTTGTGGGGCGTGGAGACTCCACTCTGTCCTGAGGCCACCCAGGGTACCACCTCAGTAAGTGAGTCCTTAATAAAATCCTGAACCTTCTAACCTCATTACTTTCTCTCTCGGCCCCTCCATATTAGGAGGCTGATTTAAAGTTAACAATCCATGGCCAGACAAGCATAATGCTCAAGGCAGACATTTTTTACTAGTTAAGCTAAACTATTGTTTGGTTTTAAGGAGACTTCAAGAAATATTTTTGATTTAAGATTTAACAATTATCTCAAGGCAATAGTTTCAGGAATTCATCCAACTTTCATGACTTCAGGTAGTCTGGAGTCTATGAGAATTTTAAATTCTGTTCTACATTTCCCCCCTTTTGATCAGGATTCTTCTATAGAATCTTTGATGAAATGTTCAGTAATGGTAGCTGGGCATCACCCAGTTCTTCTGGTCTCATGGAAAAGGAGGGAGTTGTTCAAAGAGGCAATTAGCCACACATTCCATCTCTTCCTTCTATTCTTGACTCTCCTTTGTTGCTCTAGGAAAATAGAGACCAATTTTTGTGCCTTGAAAGCCCACTTGCAAGCTTTTAAAAACCTATGTACCATAGAACTAACAAGGAGGTAGACCAGAAGCACAAAATATGTTAGTAGGCCAATTAACTGGGATGTCCCATGAGACCATCACTCAAAAACTCCAAACCAATAAACCAAATCCATGAGGTTTTTGGTCAATATAATAAATATATGACAGAACTTTGTCAGTTCAACCTTTTAGGGTTTACAACATATGACAACCATTACAATAATCATCTGTGCTCCTTTCATTACTCCTACTGGGTGATAAAAGACTTCTATGTTTTTTATATTACTGTGTATTTTATAATGTGATCTGATGAATGAAAGCAGCTGTTCTCACAAAAAAGAAAATACCTAGCTAATTAAATTGATAGGAGCTCTGGTAGCATAGTGCCTAAGGCACTTGACTGCTAACCAGAAGGCTGGTGGTTCAAACCCACCAGCCACTCCTTGGAAGGAAGATGGGGCAATCTACTTCCGTAGTGATACCACCTCAGAAACCCAAGGAGGGATCGCTATGAGTCAGGTCCCACTCAACGGCACATAACAACAATTGATTACTCATGAAAATTTTGTAGACATTCCTAGGAAAGAAACTAATTTGTGTTAACACAGGATTGAGTTAATTGATGTTGTTATATTCATCAAATAGATTATAAAAAGCCATAAAAAAGTCAAGTAGATTTATACTATTTGATGAAAGTAAATGTACAAACAACACATTTATAATTATTCCATTTGTGGAAACGTGCATGAATATTTTCCATTGAACTGTTTCTTAGGGAAAGGATTTGTTGAGGATTATTTTCATATTTTACATGATACACTATAAATTCATTACAATGAAAATTCATTATTCTTATGATTCTGGAAGGTAAAGTATTTTCTCTTTTTCTGATAACAAAAACAATCATCTCATTCAATCCTCTGTGGACTAAACCACCATAGAGGGTGAGGGGGGGATGCTGTTTTCTTCTCTCTGTAAAAGAAAAGTGCGCGCATTTGGGCATGAGGCCATCTTTGAGTAGGGCACACTTGTTTACAGGTCTAGAATGGAAATTGCGCTGAAGGGTGATTGCTAGGCAACGCCTTGTTCTGCCGCCATCTTTGAGAGGGGCATAGTGTTTGCTGTCGTGAAATGGAAAAGAGTGTACACTGAATATGGTTGCCAGGCAACGACTTCCCACTGTCGCCATCTTTGAGAGGGGCACAGCTATTTTACTAATTTAGAGTGTAAACTTTAGCGCCTACGTGACGGTTGCAAATCAACGCCTTGGCACTGTCAACGCCTACGAGGTGCGCTTTTCGTTTTCTCGCTAAATACAGTGAAACCACTTCAGGAAGAGATTATGACGCGTTGAGCCGCCTTCTTTGTTAGGGGCATCGCGACTTCCGGCGGGGGCGGAAAGGAACCTCACGGCGCTTGCGGGTGGCGTCGGAATAGGGATCGAGGGGCCGTTTGAGTTGCACGAAGAAGCGGGAATTGAGTCCTCTTCCTGTTAGCTCCCCAGGTCACCTTCTGGCGGCCTGGAACGGCAGGCCGCCTTAATGTGACTACGGGCATGCTCCTGAGCGGGCACTGACCGTTCGGTCCCGGAGGACTGCGGGGTTCCAAATGGGGGAGGAGGGGGCGAGGGGCGTTGTGCACCTGCTGTGCCTCGCGGCCTCCAGCGGGGTCCCCCTGTTCTGCAGAAGCAGCCGCGGCGGCGTCCCCACCCGCCAGCAGGTGGGGCCCTGGACGCCTGCGTGTCCGAGATAGGAGGGAGTTAGGCGTTTGGAAAGGGGGTAAATGGGGACTGAGGAAGTTGCGTTGGTGTGAGGGCCGAGGGTGCGATCATCCCAGTTTCCCGAAGAGCAGAGGCCAGAGGATTTAGAGACAGACCGGGACGGGGTCTTAAACTCTGGAGTTCGTAGGAGGAGGGAACGAGAACGGAAACGCCTGTCTAACGCCCGCCCCCCATCTCCCCAGCTCCCCTTCTCGGTCATCGGCTCCCTCAATGGAGTCCACATGTTTGGGCAGAATCTGGAGGTGCAGCTGAGCTCTGCGAGGACCGAGGACACGACCGTGGTGTGGAAAAACTTCCATGACAGGTCCCCAACGGGAGCATGGGGCCAGGGACAGGGCTTGGGAGGGGTGATAGCCCCCCTGGAAGATGAGGCCAGAGGGCCTTCCAGCTCCCCAAGCCCAGCTGTTTATTTAGTGGTGGTCTTTCTAGCAAGCTGGCGCCCTCCCCGAACCCTGATTTCCTCCCCGAACCCTGATTTCCTCGCCTGTGAGAGGCAGGTTGGGTTGTGCTGGGAGGTAGGTGGCATTTCTGAATCAAGGGGAAGGCCCCATTCCACTCACTGCCCTGTGTCCCAGATCAGAACCCCTCCCCACCTTCCTTTTACACAGCATCACCCTCATTGTTGTGTCATCTGAGGAGAGCAACTTGGAACTGAGGTTGGAGAGACTACTCCAGATGGTGTTTGGGGCAATGGTGAGACTCTCGCATCCCTTTCCCCCTAAACCCAGGAATCCAAGCTCACAGCGTCCTTCTCTGGGACTCAGGAGTCCTGGCTTCCAGGCCCTCCTCCCTGAGACCCAGGAGTCCAGGACTCCTACTTTCTTATTTGGTGTTTCTAGGTTCTTCTTGTGGGACTTGAAGAACTGACGAATATCCGCAACGTAGAGAGACTCAAGAAGGAGTTGAGGGTAAGGCTGCACAATGGCAGGATGGGAAGTTAGAACACTTAGGCGTGGCCACCTGGGAACTACAACTCCCAGCATCCCCTGGGGGAGCCTAGTCCCATGGGTCTTGGCCCTTCCTGGTTGACTAGCCCAGCAGGACTAGTTTTCAGAGGTGGCGGGAGATCTGAGGCCCACCAGGGTCCTAGGCCCCTTCCTTCTCCCTCTGCTAGGCCAGTTACCACCTCATCGACAGCTTCCTGGGGGACTCTGAGCTCATTGGGGACCTGACGCAGTGTGTGGACTGTGTGGTTTCTCCGGAGGGGTCCCTCCTGCAGGTATTGGGAATGCCCTGGGAACTCTGAAACGCACCCCAAAGCCCTGTGTCAGGCCTCCTCCCACCCTCTAGGCTTTGGGTCTGTTCCCTCCAGTTCCATCCATTCTTAGCCCCAGAGAGGGGTCTTTCCACGCTCAGAGCTAACCCTGCGCCTCCCCTGCTCACAGCACCCAGAACCAGGTCGCAGCCCTCAGCCTGGTGTTTGCGGACCTGTGCAATCAAGCCTGCCAACGCACTCACTGTAAAACGAAACACGATGCTGGGGAGTTGATTCCGACTCGGAGCAACTTCAAAGGGCAGGGTAGCACTGCCTCGTGGGGTTTCCAAGGCTGTAATCTTTGAAAGCAGACTGCCACGTCTTTCTCCCCCGAGCAGCTGGCCGCAGATCTTCCGGTCAGCAGCCCAACGCTTACCTAATGCTGTAACTCTCACCTCCCATGATGCCAGGGCTCGCCCTCCCCCAGCTGCCCTGCGGGTCGCCCAGTCCCGACCACCTTCAGCTTCGCGGGCTTGGCACAGGATGCGCCGACCTGCAGCCCTGCCCTGCTGTGGGTTCGGACTGGGCACATAGCAGGATTCGCTGAGGGACAGGCGCTGCGGCAGGGTTAGCCTCGGTGTGTGCAGCCGGCCAGCCTGTTGAAAGGACTGCACAGCGTGCGTGTGACATGTGAAAGACCTCGGGCCCGGGGAGGGTGACGCCCGTGGCTGGGCCCGGTGGGGTGGGGTCGCTTCCCACGGCTCGCCCACCCGGCTGATTGACAGCCTGTCTGCCTTCGGCAGGAAACCCTCTCTGGGTTCGCCGAGGCCACCAGCACGGCCTTCGTCAGCCTGGTGGCGTCGGGCCGAGTGGTGGCGGCCACAGAAGGCTGGTGGCGGCTGGGGATGCCCGAGGCCGTGCTGCTGCCCTGGTTGGTGGGGTCTTTGCCGCCGCAGACAGCTCGCGACTACCCAGTGTACCTGCCGCACGGGAGCCCCACGGTGAGTGCGCAGGCGGGGAGAGACGAGCGCGAGGAGGGGCGAAACCTAGGGACGCAGTCGTCGGACCTGCGCCTTGCTGGGGCAGGGGGCGTGGCTTGAGTGACGCGCGGACCCGGGGGCGGAGCGCGAGGCGGCGCTCCGGCCAGCCCCGCCCACCCCGCCCCGCTTCAGGTCCCGCACAGGCTCCTGACCCTGATGCTGCTGCCGGGCCTGGAGTTGTGTCTGCTGTGCGGGCCGCGACCACCCCTCAGCCAGCTGGATGCACAGGTGAAATCCAGCCCCCGGGCATCTTTGACCACGTGGCCTCCGCGCCCCACCCACACCTTCTCTGCTATTCTCCAATCGTCTTCCTCCGAACGCTTGTTTCATCCGCTAGGTCCCTTTGCATTGATGTCACTCATTCAAGCCCGTTCCCTTCCTTTGACGCTTCCCCACCTCACCCCCATGGTGCCGCCCCTCTCGCTGACCACGCCCATCAGACCACGCCCCCTGCAGGTCCTGGAGCGTTGGTGGCAGCCACTGATGGAGCCGCTGAGAGCCTGCCTGGCGCTGGGACCCCGCGCGCTGCCCACAGGCCTTCCCCTGCACGCGGACATCCTGGGGTAGGGCTCTGGCTGGGGTGGGCTGGAGGTCCTCTCTGCACCACGGCCATGACGCCCACTTCCCCATAGGCTGCTGCTCCTCCACCTGGAACTGAGACGCTGCCTATTCACGGTGGAACCCTCAGGGGACAAAGGTGACTGGAAACCAGGCCGGGAGGGGCGCGTCCTGGGCAGGACGCCCTGGTCACACTCTTGTTTCCCTCCAGAGCCTGCCCCACAGCACCGGCGACGCCTCCTCCGCTCCTTCTACACGCTGGTCACCTCCACGCACTTCCCACCAGGTCAGTGGTCACAGACGCTGAGCCCTGAGTAGCGGCGGGTGGCGTGAGGGCTAGGCTTGGAGAACCTGCTTGGGAAGCCAGTGCATACCAGGTGCGTTCCTGGACTCCCGGTGTGGACAGGGGAGGTGTGAATCTGCAAGTGTTAAGAGGCTGCTGGTTATCCCTGAACCCTCACCTCCTGCCAGTCACTGAGCCCATCTTCCAGGTGAAGAAGCAGGCTCAGCCCTTAGATGGCAGAGCCATGATTCCACATAGGCTGTGCCTCCTCCGTCCACATCGAATCACTGCACGGCTCAGCTCGGGCTTTGACGCGCAGCCCAGGTTAGGGAGAGTGGTAGAACCACAGGGCCCCAGTTCCTGCTGTTCCTCTCACAGAAACTGGGCCATTTGACACAGAGAAGGACCTATAACATTGCTCCAGCCCCAAGGAAGACCCCTGACTAATGGGGCAAAGTGACAGGCATGCCACTGTGCAAGGCCACCTCCCCCAGCTGTGTCCTGTAAAGTGGGACAGGGCTCTGAAGGACAAGAGCTGCTGTCACAGCTTGGTGTGTGGCATGCAGTTAGCTTCATGTAGGTCACTGGGTTCATTGTTTAGCGGGTTGCCTAGGGCCGCGCCCAGAATCCCCAGGAGCAGTGGGACCCAGGCGGAGTGAGCAAGCTGCTCCAGGCCCCACAGGGCCAGAAACTTTGGCGCTGGACGGGGTGTGGCTTCTTCAGGGTGACATCTTGTTGTCTAGGCCCTGCTGATCACCTCTGTCCCGTCCTTCCCCAGAGCCCGGGGCCCCAGAGGAGAAGGTGGAAGACGCAATCCAGCAGGCCCAGCTGCCGCGAGCCTGCTACCTGGTGTCGGGGCCTGAGGAGCCAGGTGCAGGGTGGCGGCTGGTGGCCTTGCATTCGGGGCCGCGGCGCCTGCTGTTACTGGTGTCCCCTCAGAGTCCCACCCATGGGCTGTGGAGCCTGGCCACCCACACCCTGCACGCCCTCACCCCGCTCCTCTGAGCCCAGGTGCGGGTGACGGAGCAGACACTAGGGCCTCTCTGTTTATTCGCTCACAATAATACACAGCTCCTGGGTGGGGACCGGGAGGGGCAGCGAGGGGAGGGGGTGGGGTGGGGGAGGAAGGCCCACTCCCCGGCCTGTCTCCCCTCTGTGCTTGGGGGGGAAGGGAAAGAGGGGGCTCCCCCTGACCCCCAGAATGTAAACAGCAGCAGATGAACAAAAATAAAAATACAAAAGGCTGGAGGAAGGTCCCGGGTGTCACCCCCACCCCTGGGGTCTTCCCTGTCAGCCTGCGGAGGTCCCCTCGCTGCCCTACCCACCAAAGCGGCCTCAGTCCTAGGGGCTGCCGGGAGCCGGCCCCATCCCTAAGGGCAGACTCCAGGGCTCAGAACTGCTGGGCCAGCAGTTCACAGAGGTGACGGGAGACAGGCTCCTTGCTGGTGCGAAGCGTCAGCCGGTACATCTGTGTGGGCAGGTGGGCAGGATGTCAACGGGTACAGAGCCCGGGGGCAGGGGATGCAAGCAGACAGACAGAGGAACGGACGGAACTGGAGATGGGAAGGAGGTCCATGAGGAAAACAGGGCGAGAAATGTGGGAAGAGCCGAGGACGGGAACACGGGGGCGGGGCCGGCAGGGTGAGGGCGGCAGGCAAGGGGGGCAGAGGCGGAAATGCACCGAGCACATGCACCTGCCCCGAGGAGGAGGACGGTCTCCTGCGTCCCGCGCACCCCTCACCTGGGCCTGGGCGTTGGGCTCCAGCCGCAGCAGACAGCCCACCTGCAAGGCTTTCGTCTGGATGATGCCGGCACCCACGAAGTTCTCAGGGTTGGGGTCCACGTTGTCCAGAAGGGCAGAGCCAAACCCCAGCAGCTGGAGAGGGGCGGGGAGCCTGATCGCAGCTAACCTCACTCACAGCGGCCTACCAGTTCCCTAAAGCCCTCCACTGGGAATGGCCCCGTTTGACAGACGGCAAAACACTGGCTCGGAGAAGTTGGCAGCACCGTCCTTCCACCGGGGAGGCCGGTCGGGGATGTCGGCCCCGGGGTGGTGGCTCTCACCTTGGCCTTGGTAACCTCCGCGTCCATGGGGTGGTTGGCTTTGAAGATCTTCTGTGCTTCCTGCTGGGGGCTGCCGGTGGGAACGGTTTACCTCGCGGCCTTGGCGCTCCCGGCCCCGCCCCCCCGGAAGCGCCAGCGCGGCCCCGGCCCCTGCACTCACAGGCTCAGCTGTTTCCAGCGCTGGAAGAAGTCCTGGGCCGCCATCTCTGTCGGCTGGAAGAACTTGTTGATGGTCACCGGGAGCTTCAGGGTGAGCGACTGCGGGGCGCCCCCGTACCTGCGGGTTGGGCTCCATCAGGCTCCCGCCTTGTCACGGAAGTCCCGCCCCCACCTGGGAGCGCCCCGCCTTACTCACCGGAAGCGCACGGACAGCAGTGGAGGTGTTACGAAGTCCCGCAGGCACTCGATGTTAAGCACCTGCTGCACCTGCGCCCCGCCGTCCACCTGCGCCGCCACGCGCTTCGTCTGCACGGCCAGCTGTGCCACCGCTGGTCAAGGAAGCAAGACACGGGTGGCACTCGAAGGGGTCGTGGCTGCACAGCCCTGAAGGTTCCCTGGACTTTCCCAGCAGGCCCAGACTGCAGCCCTTTTTATGAGGTTAGGCCAAGTCCCCATCCTCTGAGGCCCAGGGCCCCGGCGCATCTAAACCTCTGACTCAGCTGCCTCGTCTGGACTCCATGATGCACAAGCCACCCTACGGAATACCACTGGCGCCAGGAGCTGGCCCCGGGGGTGAGCCTCAGCTCTTACCCACAATCCCCAGCCTCTCCTCGCCTCATCTGTAAAATGGACACAATTGTACCATCAGTATGGCCCTTGGGATTCAGTGACACAATAATCCAGGTAAAAGTACTTGTGTGCTCGGCTCATGGCGCACCAGGTGGTACTCTCATCGTCCGCGTTCATGTCTGCCTCCCTCCACAGCCCAGCGCCGAGGATGGGGTCTTGCCCGTTTCTCCCCCCACGCCGGCAGAGCTGAGCCTACGGGGGACCCCTGGAGATGCCAGATGACTGGCTGGAAGAGCTGAGAATGAGAGGGTCCTCACAGCTCAGGGTCTGGCCCCTCTGCCACCACCGCTGTGGGGAGAGAGGCCTGGAGGAGGGGAAATGGGAAGCGACACCCTTCAGGATTTCCAAGCACCCTTAGGAGGATGTGCACTTCACAGGAGATAGGGAGGCTCAGAGAGGCAAAGATGAGTCGGCCCAGCTCCCAGGCAATGCTGCAGCAGGGGCACAGTCCCGTCAGAAGGCAGGCGTCGGCAGGGAGCTGGGCTCCAGCCACGGAAAGGACCTGACTGGGGAAACTGAGGCCCAGAGCCGCTGGGGTGCGAGATAGTGCCTCTTGGACATTCATCACGTAACTGGACCGTCACAGCCTGTCCCGTCATAGCCTCCCAAATCCCCCGGGATGTGGGAGAGGCGGACCGTGTCCCACAGAGGAAGACACTAAAGGTCAGAGAACCAAGCGTTAGCTCTCTGCGTAAGAGGGGCTGAACAGGGCTCACGAGGAGAAGAGCTGGGGCGAGAGGGTAGGACCGGGCCTGGGAGGGAGGATATGAGTCTGCAGGTCTCCGGGGTGGACCACGGACGGCGAGAAGCTCTGGAACTGCACGGAGGTCTTGTTGCCGTAGAAGAGATACATGCGGCCTGCGGAGGGGGAGGGGCGGGCCTCCGTCAGGTTTCCTCTCAGCCCCTTCCCCCACAGGGGCGGGTCTGTGGAAAACCGCCCCGGCCTGACGCCCGTCCTCCAGGTCACTTCACCATCCTGTCAGCTCAGGAACACAAGCCAAGCTCAGCCAGCTTTTACTGAAGAGATGGCATGGCACATGTGAAAGTGACACGCGCCTCCTCGCTGCCACTGACGGCAGCGGCTCCGGGCTGTGCTCACAGTCACTGCCTGCACTTCCGACCCGGGCTCTGCTCCGCGGAGCAGGACACCGTCGGCCTGCACGCAAGGGGCTCCCAGAGCACACATGTTAGTTTTAAATGCCTGATGCGCTTTCCCTGCTGAAAGTACGGGGAGTACCTGGGCTAACAGAAACTGCTCGCTGGAGCCTTCCTTCCCGTGGCAGCCAGGACACGGGCCACACCTGTCATACCTTAGCCGCGCCGCTCTCCCCACCCACCATCTCCCCTCGCGTACCCAGGTTCTGCCGGAACTCGGACTTCACTCCAATCTGCAGCAGCTGGTTCTCAAACAGGACCCCGTTGTTCTTGCACACAAACCTGGAGGGAGGATGGGGGTGCTCAGGGCCTCTGGGTCCCCCACCCTCAACCTCTGTCAACAAAAAAAACCAAATCACACCCACTGCCGTGGAGTCGATTCCGACCCACAGCGCCCCTAGAGGACAGAGTGGAACTGCCCCGAGGGTTCTCAAGGCTGTGGGTCTTCACAGAAGCAAACTGCCTCATCTCCCATGGAGAGGCTGGTGGGCTTGAACTCCCAACCTTTTGGTCAGCAGCCAAATGCTTTAACCATTACATCACCAGAGCTCCTCCCATCACCACCAGGACTCACTTATTCAGCAGTTCGTCAGCCTCTGGGATGGGGGTGCCGACGTCCTCAGGACCTGGGCTGGAAGTGGGGAAAGCCGTGAGATGGAAGAGACATGGGTGGCTGAAGCCCAGACGGACAGGAAGCCCAGGAGACCCGCCCTGGGGGAGGACCCAGCCCCTGCCCTGCCTAGTAGACTCCGAGTTGCCGCTGAGTCTGGTCAGACTCAAGATAATCCCAGAATCCACACACCCAGATACCCCAGAGAACCTCTGAGAACCCCAAAACCAGATCTGTGGTTGCCTCTAGAGGCAAGGGGACCCCCACAGGAGTATCCTCGTCCGTCAAGGACCCCAGGTTTCCCTCTCCTCCAAGGCCTTGCCTCTTGGGCTCATCAGAAAACCCCCTGAAAAGACCCCAGGCCCCTCACCCTCCCTGGGGGACGTAAGAGTCTGCCTCCCACCCCACCGCCACCCCTTACTCAGCAGCTGGGGCTGGGTCGGCCAGCAGAGCCATGGGGCTCTCGGGGGCAGGCGGCTCCAGCTCGCTGGGCCGTCCAATCCCAGAGCAGACAAAAGAAGATAGGCGTGGCAGGCAGCCAATCCCAGACAGGCAGCAAGAAGACCAGAGAGAGACAGAGAGAGAGAGAGAAAGAGAGAGAGGCAGGGAGGCGGGACAGAGAGAAGGAAGAACAGACTTAGCACGGTGACAGGACAGGACACCAAGGGGATGCCAGAGGGGGAAGGCGGTGGGGGGCGTGGCCAGGGCTGACACAGGCTTCCAGGACAGTAAGCTGGGAGACGGGGTGGGGTGCATGGGGCAGAGGCGGAAAAGGGGCAACACCGGTGAGCCTCGTGACACGGGCCGGCAGTACCTGAGAAAGGCCTCCTCGGCCGTGGGGCCCAGGCTGGCCGGGGCGGCTGGGCCATCTGAGAAGACGTCCACCAAGAGGTTGCCTGCGCCGGCGGGAGCTGGGGGTGCTGCTGGGGGAGGGGCTGCCCGCAGCCCCAGGAGGTCGGCAGACGGTGAGGGGGTTGACTGTGGAGGTGCAGGGAGGTCAGCGGCCTCACCACCTGGCTGGACCCAGCCGGCCCGACCGCGGGGCCTGCCCGCGGGGACTCACCACTGTGCTGGGGGTGGGCTCCATGCCCCCGTTGATGTCACTGCTGCTGGGGTCCCTGCGGCCGTCATCCAGGGCGCTGCCCGCCCCCGGCCCCTTCTTGCGCTTCAGCTTGGCCAGGATGGAGGACTCCCGCTCCGGGAAGGGGGGCATCTCTTCCAGCACCGTGGCCTGTGGGTCAGAGCGGTCAGTGCAGGCCGGCCGGGGCCGGGGCCGGGGTCACTTAGGACCGGGCTGGGGACGGGGATGGAGGGTTGGGGCTCTGGGTCGGTGGGGTCAGCGTGGGCAGACCCGGGCCGGGGTCAGGTAGGACGGGGACAGGCATGG